AGAGAGAGAGAGAGAGAGAGAGAGAGAGAGAGAGAGAGAGAGAGAGAGAGAGAGAGAGAATAGAGAGAGATAGAGGGAAGAAAACATGAAAATGTATTTGCAATTGCTTTGATTCGTTGTTTGTCCGTGTTTTTAGTATCAAGTTTGTGCGAATTTTTTTATCGTTTTTTTCCGAAGAGACAAAAATGCAAATGTTATTCCATCTTCAGTCCAATTTGATTAAATATATATATTTTTATTGTCACTTCTTGTCTGTGGTACGCTCGATTCTATGAGATATTTTCATGTTGTTATCCTCAAATCGGGTTTTTTTCTCTGTCTCTCTCATTTTCTGCGCGCTCAACGTTTCTTATCACCTTGACATTTATATACGCGTTATGACGTTCGATGATATCGAGATTCATTGAATCGAAGAAGAAGAAAAAACACACAGCGACTTTCAAAACAGCTAACAGCTGAATATAAAATGCAAACTACATGACAAATACAATGTACAGTCATGCAGTGCAGGTAAGATAATATGGCTTCAGCACATTCCATCATCGCTACCAATTGATTCGTCGTCGTTTGCCGTTTGTCCTCGTCGTCGCCTTCTTCTTCTATTTTTTTCGGTTATTTCACGTACGAATTGATTGCGACGAATTTTTTTCTTCTTTCAAACTGCATAAAATGCAAAATAACCGCTGCGATATAAAAGGGCGATTTCCAATTTAATTAGAGCAACCAATACGATTTCGATATAAAAATAACCGAAAAACTTGATTAGCATTCTGTTTGATGAAAGACGGACGACAAACCGACAACGACAGCATAATGTCATTTTCTCGCTTTGATAGCGCACATATAGTGCGCGCGTATTCAAATTTTTTTTGTTCGGTTTTCTTTTTATTTCGTTCTTGTTGCGCTGGGTTTTTTTCTTTCTCTTTTCTCGCAAAGAAACATTTCTAAATTTATTTTTAAAATATCGAGAGAAACCAAATATACACTGTCAAAGATGAAATGGAAAGGGTAACGAAGGAGATAGAAACAAGCAGAAACCGTGTAAATATAGGCAAGAAAAAGAGTTTGCTTCACATATAGACGGAAAAAGCAGTCTACACGCGAATACTGGGCAAATACGGGGTTTCTTTTTAATTTGATAAATGTAAATATGAACACATTTTTATTAAGCGTGCTTGAGTGAGCGCGCGAGCGTCCGCGATCAACTCATACTCATGACAAATTAATGCAGTTAAACATTAAAAAAAAATTTAGTCATTCCAAATACTAAATCACGATTTAAATGGTTCTTTGTATGTCCTCCAACAACAACAACTTAAAATATATGCTTGCAGTAAACAGATTTCAACACCCAAATGCGACACATACCTTTACCGAATAACGAAATAAACATTCGAATGGAAATTTAGTTACAGTGGCAAATATTAGCAATAAGTGAGTGAGAAAAAAAAGAAGGAATAAACGAATTACTTTCTTCACATTGAGCGTATATTTGCGTCATGATACTGCTGGTAACAACGTCGTACAAAAGAGACGCTTTGTTATAATTTTTTTTTGAAATTTTTTCATTTCGAACGAGCAATAGTTTAAACAAGATTAGATATGAAAGCATATTTTATAGGCAAATCAGGTGCAGAATGATGTAATTTAAATTAGCAAACGTCACAAAAAGGTAAAATAAACAGGGGGGCTCATACACGCTTGAATCAATCATATGGAGGTGATTCTTTTCATTCGTTGCTACTGTTGATATTGATATGCGTGAAAATTAATCAATTGATTGTTCATTTGTGAATTAAATGGAATTTTGCGTACAAATTCATTTTGAACGAAGTTCTACGCGATAATCAAGTGGGTCGTTGATTTAAAGTTGAATTGAATCAACCTTTTTTTATCAACTCACTATTTTTGAGCATTATTTCAATTCAATTCAAGCTTGAAATTTCGGAGAAAAAAAAATTTCTTCGATTGGGAAAAAATGTTTGAAGAAGAGACAAACCTATTTGCAACTAAGCCCAAGACGAATCTAGACATTTTGAACAGAACAACGATTCAAGAGAGACGGGAATCGGTTAAAAAAAACGAATAGGTATCATAATTGCAAATCAACTTACCCAAGCACACCTGGTGGATACACAAAATTATTGGGTCTCCATGGGCATCCAAGGTGTTTGCCAATAATTTTGTGTTGATATCGGTTCAGATTGTATGTGCTGGCTCTGTTTTCGTACAGGGCCGCTTTTCTCCGCGATGGATTATAATATGAGCGTTCTATGTGTTGCTGTTGTGAATGCTGTTGTGGTGGTTGGGTTGACTGTGTCGTAATTTGATTTGACTGTTGGCCATTTTCCATCGGAACCGTCGACGAATTCACGCTATTTTTGTTAGTCCCTTTATGTTTTTGATTGTTGTCTGGAATGGAATGCAAGAGACAATAGTTTTGATTCAAAGTTTCAAAAACTGGAAGTTGAAATTGATTTTTTTTTTTCAAATCGAGAGTATTTTTCACCACAGATAAATGAGTTCAGCTCAATAAAAATGAGTTTAAAAAAAATCGAATTTGAAAATTGAATACTATGTGTGTGTGAATGTCTTACCTTCAATAAAATTATTGGTATTATTTGTAATCACAGCCGGTGCTTGTGGTTGATTGTTGAACCCTTGTGTGGTTTGGGTGTTATGTGTGATTGGCTGTTGTTGCTGTTGCTCCATTTCCACTTCCTGAATTGTTTCCCAAATACTTAACCAAAGTCGTTTCGATGGCCCTTCTTGCTCTTCTTGAAACCAAGCTATGGCTGGATCCATTCATCCACGATCGTCTTTAACACACGCACACACCAAATTGTTTTATTCAAAGAAAAATGTATAAATATATGTGTTTTTCTTTCTTTCTTGAAGCCTTAACTAAAACGATGTGGTTTTCACTTTTTGAGTTGTGTTCTGAATTTCGGTAAATATTTCGGCGAATTTGATGAAAATGCAAATATAAATATTGTATTTGTTGTTGCACATTCAACGCAGAACACCGAAGAAAAAAAAACCGACAGCAGCCGCCCGCAAGATATTCTTGTTTTTAGATTATAAACATGTACAGATATCACAATAAAATAGAGTCTGTATATAAGGAGAGATGCAAATGCGATGAATATGCCAAAGCTGCGATGTAGAATGATGCAAATGGAAAAGCAAGTGGTTCAATATTTTGATGGATCGTTGACGATCACTGGAACTATTCCTTAATCGCGATTCCTACTTTGGGCACACACGACTTCCTCGTCTCTCTCTTTCTCACTTTTTCGTAAACTTTTTTTCTAAAAAAATATGCACTCTGACTTCAGAGCTTGGAAGCAAATATTATTGCATTTAACACGACACTAACGAGAAAATAATCAATTTCGTACAATTTTCTGTTTTCTTCTGGTGTTGTTTACGTTGTTCGGATGCGAAATTCGTCAAGAATTCGTTTACAATGGGTGTGTATATGAACTCAGTACTCTGAATTTCGTTGAAGCACTCCTGGTATAGTTAGTTGGCTATAGGCTTATCAAAAGGGTTATCTTTCTTTGTTATCCCGTTGTTCTTTCAGCAAGTGTTGGTCTTCTTTCGTTATTCCTTTTCTAGATATTTGAGTAATATTTCTTTTTGCTTCTCTTTAAAAAAAAAATCTATATCCGTCATCAGTGAGTGAGTCGCGTACACACACGTTGAGTGGCGTAACCTTGATGGCTTTTGTTTTTCATTTACCGTTTCGAACTTCACTCGATTCGTATATGTGCGATCGTTTATTCTATTTCTCTCCCCCCCTCTCTCTCTCTTTCTCACACACACTCTATTTCTAGTATTCGTATGCAGTGTCGATCCCTGCTGCCCGTTGTTGTCACTTTTTTAATAAACTATTTTTCCTTCGCTATAATATCGGTTTGCGTGCGGACGCTCGCTCACTTCGCTATGTAATTTTCGTCTCTCACTTCGATCGATTCATATAACTTGATTGAACCTCGATTTGCACCTTTTTTTATTGGTTTCGGTTCTCTGCTTGAAATGTTCGTTTCTTGCAGTTATTTCCTTTTCTTTCGATTAGATGTGGCGATGCTTAGTAATTATGAGATTTTATATGTGTGTGTATGAATGATGCTGGATGACACAAGCTGCAAAATACGATTAAATTATGGTTTGTTAATTGTTGCATGTTATTTTTCGGTTCATTTTCAAAGCAAACTACGGAATCTATGGACAAATTTTTCGGTGTGGAATTTTCGGATTTTTTTTTATCTACGAATCTCTATCATTCAAGGTATTTTCGTTTTCTTTTTTCTATGCTTTCTCTTACAAAATACATTGATGCTCTTGGCCATGCCTGCTTTCAATTCGAAAATCAATGCCTTGAAATCACATCAACAAACATCGATATTTAATCGGTATATCGTTCGAATTGTTTTATCAATTCCAAAACAAAAGCACACACACACACACACACACACACACGTCAAACTAATTATCTTAAATACTCGCGTAAATAAGTCTCTTGAACGCACTTGTTTTGGCAGCCGAATATGAAAATTTATTGATGTTTAAAATTGGAATTGCGAAATAAAAAAAAATAAGAAGGTTTTAGTCGTGAGAAATGACGTCGAGCAATATTTTCGCTTTCGTTTATTGCTTGCCAATAAATTAAGTAAATTATTCCAAAATTAGTAGTGAAACAGAAGAAAAAAATGTGTGTTTTGTTTTGCTTTTTTTTGTCTCTTATTGTGGTTTCGATTGTCGTACTTTTCCACAAACACATCTGTCAAATAATCTTTCATTGACGCACACGATATTATAACATGGATGCGCTCTATAGTCGTGTGTATCTCTCATCTGACACCCGATGCGAAAGAGAGGCAACAATTCTCTTGCGCTCCTGTGTGTATGTTAACCGCACTTTTTCTATGGTATTCATCGCACGTCGTTCTTTTGGTTTTGTGTGTTGTACGCGCAAACCAATTATTCGATGGACATTTTACGATTTGACCAAAAGGAAAGTAAAAAATGAATTTCGTTTTTAATTCGAATCAAATCGTTTTATTTTCCAAACATTTTTCTTTTCAATCACGCATTTGCACACACATTTTTCATTGGTTCGCCGTCAAAAATAATATAGGTTAGAATTTGTGTCTGTCTAATTTGTAAGTAGACAGTCGAAAGTAGCTGTCAACAAATGAATGTAGCCGATGTGTTAATGGGATTGCGATTGTTGAATTTGATTCGCGGTTTCCTGTCATATTTCCGATTCACACTATGCTATGACCACGGGGCTTTTGCTTCAAAGCCCATTTGGTTTAAATCATACACTCACGCAAAAAAAAAACTGACGCATCGAGTCACAAAAATACTAAAAAATCGTTTTTATAAGAATTTCTTTATGTCTTTTTTTTCAAATGAGCGCACAATTTTTATGCAACTTCAGGTTTATAGTGGTCGAACGGAATCTTTATCTTTATGAATGACAAATCGTCTGAAGCCATATTTTGCGAGAGACAAATGAATGGACCGGAACATATTGAGTTAATTTCCAGGAAATTGCGCTTTTTTTGAAGTATATCGACTGTTTAGATGTCAAATGTTGACGTTTCAGTGGTTAATTTGAATTGAATAGTACGCAAAACTTGGTGGATCATTTAATGAAATCAATTGGCTGTGACTAAAATCCACACAAATCACATCACTATTGCAAACGTCGCACAAACACACAGGTAAACATGAATTAATCTCTCGGCCAAAAACATGATAACGCCAATCCAATTCAATCGGAATGGGTGAGCTCTATTTTGACGTGATCTCTGCGAAACATGATAAACCGGGCTTCACTGCTTTCTGCGCAATTTTTTATCCATTTTTTTCCAATTCTAACTCTTGATAAATCTCTGTCTTAAGCCAACATTTCCAATTAGATATTGTTGATTTGATAGGTAATCCGAAAAAACCAACATAATTGGATGATTTTTCTTTTGTTTCCAAACACACAAATGAATCGCAAATAAGTTTATCACTCACATTAAATCCATACACAAATCAAACAATGAATTTCGCTGGCGTTTTTCTTCTTCGCCCTTGTCGATTTATGGCGAATGGTTTTCAAACAGGTTGTTTGGAAAATTGATGTTCAGCGCAAACAAACAAAAAAACAACACGAATCTGAAACCGTCTGTCAAAACATATATTCCACGGTCAGATCGCGTTTATATTATTCCTATCCACTTATTAATGGTCTCTTTTGTTGAAAATATAAAATAAAATTGCCAATATCTCCGATGCACTTCGCAAGAATGAACACAAAAGCAATAGGCGTACGAACTTTTTATATATGAAATGAAAATAAATCACACGCACTAAAAGTTTATAATTTATATAGATTTGAATTTCGGTATCTTTCCATCGAAAAGCAAGAAAGAAAAATAGTCATTCACTTCACAAGCACCACACTAAAAGTGTGTACAGTGGGCAATATACACGACGAATAAAAAAAAGATTGTTCTTTCCGTTTTGTGTTTCACGGGATATTAAAAACTGTCTTCTGTGTGGAAACACAAAACACACCGAAAATGAGAGACACACTCAATCAAACACACAGACGCACACACACAAATGGAGAGAAGAAACAAGCAGAAAGAAGCAACAAGGTGGAGGAAGAAAAAAGACAAATACAGTGGCTGCGTTGGCTCACGTTGGTGTGTTTTTTCTTCTTCTTCTTCTTCCTCCTCCTTCTGTGTCGATTGAATTGCTCTGGTGTGTTGTGTCAATAGTGTAATTGCTATTGCTGTCTGCATATGAACAGGCACATGAAATAGGAAACGAATAAAACGAACAAGGAAAATAGTTTCAAATGATGAACGCATACATTTAGAGGCAAAAAGACATACACTAGATCAATTGTGTTGGGGTCTCTTTTCGATCCACAATTAACGCGCGCTTTCTTTCCCTATTTCTATGGCCGTTCGATACACAACACACAAGAAAACAATGGATAAAATGTCAAAATCCAAATGCAACTGTCAAACGCACCGATTTCGCGCTTGTGTCAGTGCTGCATATACTGAGACAAAAAGTCAGGCGCGCGCCAACTAACACAAATACGACCACATACACACAAACACCATCGGGCGCGTACCATGCGAAAGAGAGAGATAATAATAATATATGTGACAGCTTCGTGTATATTCTCTTTATTTGTTCACCGAATATTTAATGGAATACAGGCTTTTAGCGACCTCTTGCGAATTGTCAAATCAGATGACAGCATTTTTTTTTCTTCTTAAAGACAATTTTATCGATACTCCTTGACACTTAAACAAGGTTTTCGGTTGGATTCTTCATTTTTTTTGACTGGATTTTTGTCAATGTTGCAAATAGTTTTTTTTGTAAAGGTGAAAACGAAAATAGAGAAAAAAAAATGAAAATTGCAAGCTATTCAATGTGAATGGCAATTTTGTTTGTTCCCTTTCACACAATGTGCAATTTCTTTCACAATAGCCAATGATGATACATACAACCGGTGTATTTATCGAGCGCTCAATTCAAAATATGTTGCCCTTTTTTGCGGTTGCACAACTCAACACACGCCGTGTGTGTTTTCTCTCTCTCTCTTTTTCTGGTCTAATTACAAGATAATTTTGAATGGGTTCATTGAAAAACAATGACTATTTTTCTAATCAAAGGGCTGTTCTGACGCCATTCAACAATGTCAATGGAATTGAGGGGGAAAAAATGTGCGATAAAATCAGAAAAAAACAACTTTTTTTTTCCTATTCGATTAATTGATAAAAAACAACAACGACCGAGTCACTTTTTAACCTTAAACCAAGTGCTGGAGGTGTGCGTTATCTTGAAATCGGCAAATTATCCATGACATCTACTTTTTTTTAATGCGGTAAAAATGATTAGCCGTTCATCAAGCTCTCAGCTGATGATGAATTAGTAGGATTGAAGCGATAGAAAACAAATGTAAATTTGTGCGATGGATTTTCGATTGGAAAAATTGTGTTTTCGAATGATATTCTACGATGAAAGGGTGTTAGCGATTGCGATCGCCTGTTATTTGTATTGGTCATCACGTTTCGGCACGCGATATGCATAGATTAATGCAAAAACAATTGCGGCATCGTAGTAAATGCGAAAAAATGCTGTATGAAAAGGTTTTTTTTTCTCTCAGCGGTCGATGATGTCAAACAGTTCAGAGAAGTTTCTTCTTTTTTGGAATATTATCACGCGCCTAATCAATGACTAGCATCTCTGGTACCGTGACACATTTTCACCGTGGTACAAATCCAGGAAACGAGAAGACAACAATTAGAACAAACATCACACGGCAATCGAAATTGAAAAAGAGAGTCGAGATCGAGAGGAAAAAAGGGGTGACTAGCGTCATAATCACAAATTATGCGCGTGATGTGTGTGCTCATCATTTGTTCATAAATTTTGTTCTCGATGATGATTTTGTAAACAGCATATATGCTCGTTTGCTCTCTTTGTGCAAATCTCTATGTGAAACACGCGGAAAAGTGGCCTTAGTGTGTGCGTGTGTGTGTTTGTGTGTGTGTGTGTGGCCACAAAGAGCCTCATTCAATTGAATGAAATCGTTGAAGATTGAATTACGACGGCTCAAAGTGGAAACATCACAAGATAGGGCACACATTTGGGGTTAGCTCAAATGTCGAATTATGAAAAACACACTCACACACACACAGGCACGAATAGTGAATTTTTTTCAAGCAACTAACCGAATGAAAACACCAAAATGACAATTTGATCGATTAATGTTTGTTGATCAATGAAATGCGAAATGTTGCGAGACAATGAGAGCCAATATCTAATGCGAACGTTACTTGTTGTTGTTTTTTTCTGTCCCTTCATGCAGTTCCATGATTCGTTTTCTTCTATGAATCGAATGTGTGTGTGTGAAGAAAAGCGAGTATGTATGAAGCGCAAGAAAACAGATGAATATGCGACAACAGCGACGATGAAGACGATTAGACAACAACAAATACAGTTGCTAAGCGAAATGATCAAAAATGGCAAGCGCAATGTGTGAGGAAGCAAGGCAAAGATTTTTTTTCTTCGCTTCTATGGTCGAAAATGAATAATATTTATTTTTTCTCTTGTCTTGACTGTTGCTACACAAGAGAAGAGAGACAAGACAAGAGAGAGAGAGAGAGCAAGAACGAAAAAAATAAAAGCGATAAAATAGCTACCTGTTCGTGAATAAATTTCGTTCGGGTGGTTCGCCTCTCTTTTCTTATGCACAAAAAAAATAATCTGAACGTGTCACAATAATTAAATAATACAGAAAGAAAAAAAAACCGAAGAAAAACAGTTCCGTTTGTATTGATATTAAGTGATATTCCTTATCATTCGGGATTGCGATGATTTGATCGGTGCAAGATGTATTCTTCCTCTTCTCCTTTTCTCTTCGTATACACACGCACACACACACACAAAAAAACAATCCGGTGTGATGTCTTATTATCTATTTAAATTTTAAAAAAAGAAACAGTCGAGCAGTCTCTGTTTCTCCGTTTTTGGAATAAATTCGGCGATTTTTTTCTTGTGTCTCTTGTCTTTTTTTGGCTGTTTCCGCTTTTTAAATGAATCGCTTTTCGTACGTCACACTCTCACTCCGAACAGCTATGAGGCTCACTTGATTTTATCAAATAGTTTCTATCAATTTTTTGCGCTGTTCTCTTTGGCTCGTTCGCTCTTTTGATTTTTTTATATATTCAATTGCAGCGGCAAATTTTTTTTCTCTCGTTTCGTTTCGTTCTTTCTTTCTTCACTTCTATTTTTTTTCTACTTGTGGGCAGTTGAATAATCCGAACCGATAATAGTGATTTTTTTTCCTCGTTTCGAGTTTAGAACCATATAACTTTTTACGATTGAATTTCAATGATTTTTTGTTTCACTACAAATCGATTGAGAGTATTTTTTTTTTCACTCGAAATTCTTCTTTTATTTTCTCGTTCTTCGAACAGAAAATATGAAGGGACGATAATTATCCTCTATTATTTTTTTTTTGTTGCTTTACGAATCACTTCTTAAGTAAGTTATTTGTCAGTGCGAGCATTTCAACACCATGAACACACGCCTGTATGAGCCACCGTTGTAGTTTTTCTTTCCTTTGCGTTCTGTCTCTCTTTCTCTTCGTGTTGCCGTTAATACACACAAACACAAACACAGGCGCGTATACTCATTTGATATTTGACGGGCCAGTGTCAGTGTTGTGTGTTGTGTATTGAATGGCTGATAACCGTACTACTTCGTTCGGCATGTATATTTTCGTATGAACGCATACAATCACAATCGAATTGGGTACTACTAACACGTACAAACCGTTTTACTATTTAAAAACATGACAAATTCATCATTTGATTTATTGCCCGATTGATGTGCATTGATGATGCAATTGTTCAATTTTGAAAATTATCACTTGTTTTACGGCCGTAATTCCAATAAAAATAAAAATGCACAAAATATTTGTATATTCGCCGTCGGTATACACACAATATAGATGTGAAGATGGTAGTTTTTGAAACTGTCAAATTGATAAAAACGCCCTCTGTAACATGAAAAACGCTTGACTTGATCCAAATTCCGGTTTCAAAGTGTGTCCTTCAAATGTCAAAATTAACAAAATGTAAATGTTATACTCGTTTTCAGCCCAAAACATTCACTTTAGAATTGTGTGATATAATAGGGGAAAAAAGGTGTAGAAACGGTAGAATTGAATAGCATTCCATTGATGATTCATTCATTCAAATTTTCGAGTTTGGCGAGCATTTTGGCTATACGACCCGTTTTTTTGTTTTGGTTTTGTTTTTATAGGAAGTTTTTTTTTCCCGAACATTTCATCAAATTGCATCGAAATCACATGAATGATTCAAATCGTTGTGCATCGAGACTAGACATTATTTCACAATCATTTATATTAGACGTAGATCCATTCACGTTCAATAGATGGCGCAACAAAAATTGATAAACCAGTTGATTTGAAATGGAAAAATTTAAATTGTTTTTTTTTCTCTGTTTCATTTCAGTCAAATTTATTCAAATGACATCGTCAATTCTTTTTTTAAAGAATTTGTTGATTGTTGTTAGCCGATGCTATTTCCTTGCTTGCGCCCAACGCAATGTCAAACTTTCGGAAACGATAAAACGTAAATGCATGCACACAAGACCTTGAATTCACATGCAATTTTTCATGCGATAAACAAGCGCTCCTTTGAATGAGTCGTGTATAATTTTTGTATGTGTTTTTCGTTTTTCGGTTTATTTTTTTCTTTCGTTCTTCTTCTTCTTCTTCTTCTTGTTCTCAAAATAGTTCTTTTTTTGTTTCATTCGTGATTCGATTATCATTGAGCTGAAATATTAAGCGAATTGTGTTAGTTGATATCAGAGACTAAACCAAAATCGAGTCGATGAATGAAACAGTTTGATTTGAAAATGCGATTTATCATTGATTTATCTGCTGATTCGGATATCACATTGAAATCGAGTGAATGTAGGTCAACTTTGGATTTTCAATCGATTTTCATTCATTTTTGAGTGAAATATTTTCCATTTTGAAATTGTCCATGAATTTTGAGTGAAATCTTTTTTTTTGCATCAATTTTGAGCATTTCAAGAAAAACACACAAGTAACGAAGAGTGGAATTTTCCTCCAAAAATCTGTTGTTGACTCTGACATCTCAATATAACGTGACTATTTGCACGTATATCTTTATTATGGCGGTTTTATTTACTCATATATTAGCCACTATAGCGGTTGGACACATTTTTTTTTCTATAGAAAATTATTGCACACATGCAGGTATTTCAAATGAAACAACAACGCTTTCAGTATACCTCTCAATCAGTTAACTCGATCACGCTTACTGCGACTAATGTCATATGAAATCAATGCAAGTGGTTTTTTATTTACTGAATCGCTGTTTTCGATTTGAACAGTTTAATCGTTCGCATTCGGTTCAGAAATATCAAGTGAATTAACGTCGTTGTCATGTCCAAACATTTTATTTAAATATTTCAATTTATTTGAAACATTAAAAACAATTTGTTTTGCAAAGAAAAATTGAATGTAAAAAATTGATAAGAAGATAAAACAACGAAAAAAATGGAGTAAATATTCTTTATTTGTCAATTTTGATTAATAATCGTTGATACTCAACAAACAAAATCGTTTATTATTTTAACAATCTGTTCAACAGCTGTTAAATGCTAATGAAATGATTGACAAATTTGTGATCAGGCTGTCTGATCGATTTGTACGGCAAAAATATGTGTCAAAGACGCAGTAACTGAACACCAAGCAATTTTCAATGGAGCGCCACACTGCAATTTTTCAAAATTTAATTTGAAATTTGTCAGATTATGACAAACGGCAGCTAAAGATCATAAAATCGGTTGATAAGAAAAACTTACTGGAGTTGCAAATCAACTGGCTTTGAAAATATCATGTGCGCTTTTTTCTTCTTCTAAAAATCGTCGTCATTTCTTTCAATTGCACAACGATTCATTCGACGAATCGAACTGGTACCGATTTGGTCATTGGACTTTGGCCTACGCCGGTTTTTGATTGTTATGCTTTTTTTTCGTTTCGTGTGTGAATCAAGATTTGAGGCACAAACACCAAGAAGAGTGCTTTCATTGGAATATTTGTGTGTTTTGGAATTACATCCGAAATGAATGAATTGTATGGCGCAATTCGACAGATAACAATGATAAACTAGAACAAGCTATTCTTGCTACTTATTCACATGATTCATCCGGCCCACACAAATGCAATTAAACAGCAACCATTTTTTTAAATAATTTTTTTAAACGTTTATTCTTAAATCATGCGAAATGATTCCGCTCGCAATGAAAACAAATGCGAAGTATATATTGATTTCGACGCAAAAGTATCAGCACATCTATAGAGAGAGTGTTGTAATATGAAGCGATTATTACCTCAGAATCAATCAGTCTATTCATTCCATCAACTACATTTTATCTCGCCGCTTAAAATGTAATATCAAGAATAGAGTTTGATTGGATTATCAACTTGTTTCGAATCATTTGTTTTGTGATCAACTCAAATTACGCACCAGACGCATGTTCATATTATTTTTAGACTTATATGTCTGGGATCTTTATTGCATTACTTTTTTTTTTATTAAAATTTAAATAAAAATACATTTTCTCACAACTCATTGGGAACAATGAATTTCGGCTTGTTAAACTAATTATGAATTTTACTTCAACTTGCCATGAAAAGTAATGTCGTGATCATGTAAGAAGCCGATTTCAAAGTTATTTTTATCAAAAACAGTATTGTAATTTACGATTCTCGTTATTCTTATCAGACAATTCAGCTGTTCAACTTAGTGTCCAAATTATACAGTCCAACTTTACAGCTCAATGTCATTTTAAAAGGAAAAAAGAACAAAAATTTGAATAATAAATCAACAGAGTTGATGGGAATATTTCAATCAAAGGGGCGAAAGTGCAAACAGACTGCAAAAACAAACAGTTCTGCAGGAAAACGGTTCTCGCTGATTACACAAATATCACAGATGCTGGGGCAATAAAAAAAAGCCTTGCAATTTTAGGTTGTAAATCATTGTTGTCTGCTCTGTCTATTCCGAATAATTATTTTCCGCTTGTTTATAATAAAAATGCCAGATAAAATCAATAAATCCGTTATCACAAATCAAAGTTCATGTAATGACGCCCCGTATTCTGAACCCACTTGCTACACATTATATATTTCGAACGGAAAACTGAATCAATACGGCTTATGTACGGCGTGTAGAAAGAAATTTAGATTTCCGTTTTTTTCTTCTTCGTCTGTGTTTTGTATTAGGGAAACGCGTTACGTTACAGTTAATAGCTCTTACAGATGACGTCATTGCGTTTCTTGGAGGCTCGTCCCTCAAAAGCATATGTATGCATGCATCGACACAGTCGTGCATATATTCTGGGAAAAAAACGTGCTGTGTTTTCATTCGCATCGTACGATCTCTTATTTTGGTCGAAAATATTGCTTAAATATACATTTTATTGCTCTATCGTTTAAGTATGCTGGAAAGAGACGTACATCTGGCGAGATTGCATCGGATCATATGCTATAATCTCAACAGAAGAGAATATTGTCAAGCTCAAATTGTTGAGAAAATATTATGAAAATTCGTCTATAAACCAATTGAATCTATCTTTGTTTCATCATCAGAAACAGATTGCACGGCTTGAGACTGATTGCACCGCATAATTACATTTTTGTAAACTTTACTCATTGCAAATTAGTGTTGGTCGTCAATTCAGCCCCGACATATAGCCTGATGACAGTTTGCGAAAATCGTACGATATCTTAATGGGCTGAAAAACAAAAACAACCAGATCTATACTATATCTACATTCTACATGCTGTTTTATTCTTGCGTTTCGTTTGCATACATCGCACTCGGAATGGTCCCATTTTTTCCGCACTGTCACACACCACACGATGCGTGCGTGTATCGATGTATTGTGTACACAAGCGCAAGCGCGCTCCTGTATTCCGAAAATGTGCTGTCTGGCTCTTGGGTTTTTGGGTTATATCATCATCATCATCGACGTCGTATTGTTGTCGTTGTTGTTGTCGTCGTCGTCGTCTTCGACTCTCGTCATCAAACGTCGCACATTTACTAGTTAACACACGACAAAAAAAAAGAGAAATCGAATTCTGTTTACATAGATTAACACAAAGTGTGTGTATATATTTTTCTACGCATTTTTTTCCCGTCAAATATCCTTGTCATAAGTCACGTAATTTTTGGTGCGGTACTATAGTGTTGAAATCTTGTTCATAATGTTTTGGTATTCATTACCATTTTTAAATGTCGCTCATTTTGAGGCCAAAATTCAACGAGATCGGTCAAGCGCTCAACTGTGCCACAATTACGCGTTAAAGTTTTGATCAATTGCTACGGAATTAATTTTCAAGCGGATTTCATCATTTTTGTGTGTGTTCGGAATCTGATCTGTTCGGCTTTTTCGCTGGTGTCGACAAATTATCTGAATTATTGTTTATATTGTGTGTGCTAAGTGAATACCGTGTGTGGTTGTTGCTGTCGCAATTATATAAACAAATTGTGCGATACGATAGCAGTCTGCTGATAACTTCGGAGGTAAAGTGCACATTACAAAAAAAAACACGTTGTCTAATTGCCGTCACGAGCAACTTTGTAAACAGTTGCGCTTATTTCTCTCTCTATCTCTTCTTCTTCTGTCAACGTAGTTGATTCATTACATTGATTCTATAGAATTATCGATAAACCGCATGAAATTCGCACGTCGCACAGATCTAAACACACTTGATTGAAGAGTTTTTTTTTTCTTTGCCATTTGAAACTCGGTGACAACGTTGAGAAAGTGTAACAATTTGCTAAATTTGTAAAAAAAAATTCTCATGTCTTTTTTTGCCCATTATTTCTTCTTCTTCTTCTTTATTCACCGCATGACATTCAATACAAAAAGAAGAAATCAAATCATATGGATCAAGTTGTCAATCAATATCGCCTGAAATATATAAATATCTCAAACGAGTTTTATTCCCAAAAAGGAACTAAAAATATCATTAAAATTGACATGAAGACGAATGAGCGTCGAAGTAAATTGAAAACATAATCCAATGTCTTGATCGTTATCAGCGTGTTCATCCGGAACGCGAGGCACATTATTCGATGTGACGTTTATTGGTGCATTTATCATCATCTGATTATGAATAAAGCAGTTGGATCACGGTTTATTTACACATATTTTGTTTACAAACGCACTAAAGCACATGTAACGAATTTAATTTACTTCGACGAAAACGTACACATAAACAAGAATAAACTGAAATGAAAGTGTAACGCCAAGTTGAGGCGCTATCGATACATATATGCGACTGTCATACACATAGTAACGCGATCAAAACCGACAGCGTTGATAATTACTGACGTATCGCCACTGAAATCGGCAGCAACAGCACGATACGATATAGAGTAAATAGCCGAGAAGCGAGAGAGATTATTGTTGTTTGTTTGTGTGTATGAATATGGGTGTCATAATCGGGCGGTCAGCCAGTCTCATTGTTGGCCATACGCCATCGTATTTGGACGCATCGCGCACACTGCGTAACCGAATATTTCGCTTAAAATTTCTCGCATTTTTTCAATATTCCGTTATTCGATAACTACTTACTTAGAAAATTTTGACTTAATTCGATACTCATAATTTATAAGTGTGTTCTTTTTTCTTTTGTGTTATATTTATTCCACTGTGAATTTTTCTTTCATACCAACGGTCAATCTAACTCGAACTGATTCTTTTTCTACGTTAATAAAGAGACACAAGCAAAATGTACGACAAAGGGAAATTGATTGCAGTCATCGATGAAGGAACAAAAATCGCACGTGTGGTGGTAAGTACAAAGTTCAAAATGAGTGCAATTTTTGCAACGTTGTTAAAAAAAAAAGTTTCAATATGACACCATAAAAACGTGCAATTTTAACACCCATTTTACTTGTGCATTGACAAAAAAGTCCGTATTTCATCTCGACCGTTTTTTTTATTCGCCGGCAGATTTTCAAATCAAAACCACACTTCGAAGAATTATGCTCACACGAAATTGAAATCGAACAAATTCATCCGCAAAATCGTTGGGTGGAACAAGATCCATTGACCATTTTAGATGCAGTGGACAAGTGTTCGGCCGAAGCCATTCGCAAATTGGACAATTTCATTCCAAGTATTTACAGTAAGAGCGATATTGCCGCCGTTGGCATCACAAATCAACGGGAAACAGTGGTTATTTGGGATAAACAAACCGGCAAACCCTTGCACAATGCCATTGGTAAAAATTTTCTTTGTCATTTATGTGAAATCATCTACGGTAGAACTTCTTTATTTCAAACTTTTTGATGTGAACAAACTCAAAATGGATGATGAATCAGTCTGCCAAATGATCAATTTTGATAAATCAAAATGTAAAAAAAATACTCATTTATTATAATCAACTTTATTCGGTTTTCAGTTTGGAATGATGCCCGTACGGAGGAAACTGTGGAGAAGGTGTTGGATAAAATTCCAAATCGCGACAAGAATCATTGTAAATTAGTGTCTGGCCTACCGATCTCACCATACTTCTCGGCATTGAAAATAATGTGGCTTAAGGAAAACGTACCTGCAATTAATGAAGCATTCAAAAATAAGACCTGTCTCGTTGGCACCATTGACTCATGGCTTGTTTGGGTGAGTTGAATCACGTATTCTTTTTATTTCCGTAAATTTTTCGGCCAGAATCGTCGATACTCATGTAGGCTCTCATATCGACTCATGTTTGGCGAAAATACATTCAAGAATCAATTCTTATAAAAACTTAAAATTCACAGAATTTGACCGGTGGACCAAATGGTGGCCTTCATATAACCGATGTTACAAATGCCAGTCGTACACTTCTCATGAACTTGGAAACACTTCAATGGGATGCAGTAAGTTTCACGAATAGTATTTATACTCAAAACTACTATGTCAATGTAATGTCAACGGAAAAGTTTAAATGAAAATCCCAGAAAATCCATTTAACAGTAATTTTGTATGAAAAATTACACGTCAATCAGAGATAAACGTTGCATGTTCTTTCGAAATAGAATTGGCCAATGTGAAGAACTAATCATAATTTTTCGTTTTAGGAATTGCTGAAAACATTCTCAATCGATGTTGATGCCCTACCAGAGATTCATTCATCATCGGAAGTGTTTGGGAAGATATCGAACGGTTCTACCCTGGATAGCATTCCAATTTGTGGTGTAAGTCACACAATACAAATCAATTGGTCATTTGTGCTTAATTCAATCATTATTGTTTGCTCATTTCAATTACAACATTTTTGTTGCGCTTCAACTGTCGATTGAATAGTATTATTATTTCCGAATTGAAATGAAAAGTATTTTTACTATTTAATGATTAATCATTGAACTGTCATAGAAACCATTTAACAATAATGTGTATTTTGGTTATATTCATTAGATTATGGGTAATCAGCAGTCGTCGTTAATTGGTCAAATGTGTTATGAAAAAGGTCAAACAAAAGTGACCTACCGTAATGCGTGCTTTTTGATGTGCAACACCGGCGAAGAGAGAGTGTTCTCAAAAGAGGGTCTGGTCACGACGGTGGCCTATAAAATGGGTAAAAATCAACCAACGATATATGCGCTCGAGGGTTCAGTAGCAGTTGGTGGCACGGCTTTGCAATGGCTGGGCAATAAACTCGGTCTGCTGAAGTCACACGAAAACTCCGAACTATTGGCATCGAGCGTTTTTTCAACGGGTGATGTCTACTTTGTACCTGCCATCAATGGCCTATATGCACCATCATGGAAAAGCGATGCCAAAGGGTAAGTTTTTTTTAAAAATCCAAACCAATAATTATTCTTCTTCTTTCCACGTTTATTCAAAATTTCTCTTAAATTTTTGCTCTTCAATAGAATTATTTGTGGTCTCACAGCATTCACCACCCGAAACCATATCATTCGTGCCGCTTTGGAGTCGATTTGCTTCCAAACGCACGACATTCTCAAGGCGCTCGAATCATGTTTGGGCATGAAACTACGGAAACTCAACGTTGACGGTCCAATGTCGAAGAATAATTTGCTGATGCAATTGCAAGCCGATTTAAGTGGATTACCAGTTTGTAAGTGTATCAGCATCTATTTTTGAGTGTGTATTATCATTTAGGAAACAGGAGAAGAATGATCGTGACGAAAAATTGGCTTGAAAATGGTTTATTCAAAAAGATGAGTGATCATCATCACCTCCATTCATCTTCAAGTGCATTCTTTATTAAACATTTTCCCATTTAAATTATCGTTTCAATATAAATGTTGGATTAAAATGAAACATTTATGCTCTCTTCCACAGTACGAACAAAGGTGCATGATACAACTGCACTTGGTGTTGCACTTGTAGCGGCCCATTCAACTGACATGGAAGTGTTTTGTTTGCAGAACGACTTTGGAGATAGGTAAATGGTCATTGTTTGTTCATTCTTGTTAATTTCAATGATTCTCATGTGTTTTCCTCTTTTCTCTCTCTGTGTGTTTCAGTTTGGGAACAAATAAAATAGTGCCAACATATGATATATTCCATTCGCTAACATCGGCTGAAGATCGTGACAAACGCTATAAAAAATGGAAAATGGCTGTTGATCGATCATCACATTCGTATGAAATTCAATCATGAGCCGGACACAAAACTTCATTTTTTCTTTCAACGGAAGAAAACATAACATAACGAAAGACAGAAAAGAGTAATTAGAAAAATGATTATGGACGCTACCGTGAAAAAAAAATCATTTCAAAAAATGATTGCATACGGGGCGGGGCATATAGGGTATAAAGAGATAATATTTTAGATTCAATGTATCTGCACACAGGGAAGAATGGTTGAGATTTTTGGTACAATGGACTTTTTTTCGTAAAA